CTGCGGTACAACACTACCGTCGACGAGCGCCGGTACACGCCGCGGGCACACCTGGACGAGAGCGGGGAGCGGCACACGCAGAAGGGGCTGCTGCTGCTCGGTGGCCAGGAGCACTGTGACCGGCTCCAGTTCCACGTCCTGGTGAGTGGGGAAGGGGAGGACAGGGCTGGGGTCTCCTCCTCTGCCAGCCCCCTGCAGAGCGAAGATGCTCTCTGCCTTGTGCAAAGCAGCGATGCATCGGGATGCGGTCAGAGGAGCCTCGATGGGTCCATGGGGCTGGAAATGAGCCTCATCCTCCAGCCTGGATTTTTTTTGCATTGGGTTTGATGTGGTCAGGGATGGAGCTGCCGGCACAAGGCAGCTGCTGGGTCCCCAAACGCTGACTTCATCGTAGCCCCAGGTTGCACCGTGCTCCTTTCCATCAGCCACTGGCCGTGCCCTCGGGGAGGGCGTGCACTCCTGATGCCCAGGTCAGGCTGGTCTTCCTGCTCCAAAATTGGTGAAAATTAATTCTATCCATTGGGAACCAAATGCTTCCATGCCAGTCCCTGGTGGTCTCAGCCTCTACACCCCTCTGACCATCAGGATCCCCCCTCCCCGGGTGCAGGAGCCAGCAAACCCCTCTGCATCCCTCGCGGGGAGCAGCTGATGCACAAACCTGGCCAAAATCAAACATTCCCAGGGAATGATGAGAATGTTGCGCAGGCCAAGGAGGGCCGAGCTGCCAGACTGGCCGGGCCCCAAGCCCTGGCCTGAACCGCCGTGAACTTCTGGGAAATTTGAGATGGAGCTTGTGATTTAGCCCAAGAAGCATCTCACTTCAGAGCATCTCACTGCACCCCAGGCAGTGCACGGGAAGTGCATGGGAAGGGCTGCAAGGGGGGATGAGCCCCAGGTAAGCATTGCAGGACAGCTCTGTCCCCCTGGGAGCCTGGCTCGGGGTCAGCCCCCCCACATCTTTTGGAGCCAGCATCTCCAGGGTGTAGCATTTCCCACACCCTCAGACGGGTGTTGGGCAGCACCGCTGAGCTCAGGTCATCCCCATCCCTAGGAAAGGGTCAGCTGGAGGGACAGGATGATTGCACACCAAGTATACCTGATTGCAAAGCTGTTATTCCATAAAATAATCGTACATGGCTGTAGTTCTGCCTTACTGCTCTCTCTGGCACTGCCCCTCCACGAGCAGCAGCCCTGTCCCTCCCAGCGATGCTTTCTGTCCGCCGCAGGACACAGCGGACTATGTGAAGCCGGTGACGTTCTCCATCGACTACGAGCTGGAGCACCCTGAGAACGGCCCCATGCTGGACGACGGCTGGCCCACCTCACTCAAGGGCTCGGTAGGTAGCAGCACCAACCTCCCTGGGTGCCTTTTATCAGGTGCTTGATCAGCAGATTTCTCTCTGGATGTAACATTTGCTTCTGTATCTTGGGGCTGGAATCCCTGGTCCCTCCCGTGATTGCAAATGGGTTTGCATCGGCTGCAGCCTGGGATCAGAAAATCATAATATCATTGAATGGTTTGGGTTGGAAGGGACCTTAAAGATTGTCTACTTCCAACCTCCCACTAGCCCAGGTTGCTCAAAGCCACCACCCGTGTCCCTTCTCGTTGGAGTACAACCAGGGGCTCAAAGCGTCACCAAACTGCCCTTGTCCCCCTCAGGTCCCTTTCTGGAACGGGTGCAATGAGGATGAGCACTGCGTCCCTGATCTGGTCCTGGATGCCAAAAGCGACGTGCCCAGTGCCATGTGAGTAGGTTGCTTAGAGCATCATAAACTGGGGGAGCTCCGAAACCCAGCCCCAACCCATGCTCCGTAGATTCTGGCATAGCAGCTGGTCCTTCATCCATCATTGCCGTGAAATTCATCCAACCCCACCTCGAGGTTCATCTAACCCCACCCCGAGGTGCTTCCCAGCACCTCCGCTCACAGCGGGGCTCAGCCTCTGCCTGCTCCCTGCCTGGAGCAAATCGGTGGTTTTTCAGGGAATCCACAAAACAACTAATATGTGATGCCATGGTGATGAGCCCCAGGGAGACAAATCAGTAAATAACAGGGAGGGGAATAAATGCCAGGCTGGCATTACACCCTTGGCAATTACAGGCTTGACTCAGAAATAATTATACCCTACATCTGATCACTCAGAGAGCTCCCAAACGTTATCCGGGAGCACAGGAGCCCGAACCCCACCTCCCGTCGATGGCAGTGGGCTCTGGACCAAGCCCATCACCAGTGCTGCTACCTGGGGATTACCTGTATCCCATAATTTGGTGTTTATTCTTCTGTCTGCTGTAAAGCTCTTGGTCCTGAGGCTACAACCCAGGCATGGGGGTTGAAGTGAGCTGTAGGTGGGGGGTATTTATGGATCTCAGTGGCTGGAGTCCTACACATCACCATCTGCCAGGGTGTTGGATCTCTAATCCTGTTCCTCCTGACGCCTGAGGAGCTTTCCCAATGGCATCAGGGGAACTGGATCATGCCCTACAAGGGCAACTGGTATGAAGGTGATTTCTGCCAAGAAAACCATTTTGGAGGCGATTTGCTGGAATAGAGCTATTCCTTCAAACCAGCGCCGGGGCTGCTCTCCATCAGAGGCAGAAGGTGGCTCTGAAGGTGGCACTGTCCTACATTTTCCTTTTTTTTTATTTTTCGTGAAGAATATATATATATTTTTTTAGCCAAAAATCACAAGCAAAATGATGGTCCATGGGAAGAATTTGTGATTCCTCCTCTTGCAGGGAGTACTGCCGGCGGGCGCTGCGGAGGGCTCCGCCGGACTGCTCCGCCTTCAGCCTCTCCTTCGACGCCTCCGTCTTCGTCATCGAGAGTAGCAGGAGGAGGGTGGCCGTGGAGGCGGTGCTGGAGAACCGAGGAGAAAACGCCTACAGCACGGTCCTCAACATCTCCTTCTCCAGAAACCTCCAGTTCGCCAGCTTGATCCCCAAGGTGAGGCTGCCGGGGGGAGATCCAGGGCTTTCCAGAAGCGCTTCTAATCCTGGCTGGATGAGAAAGCCATGTCCTAAACCAGAGCCCAAAAATGTCTCCATCCCTCGTAAATCAGACATGTTTATGGGCTTAGTGTCTAAGCACTTGAGGCTCTTTCAGCTCTTTATTTTGGAAATACAAAAATGTTTGAATTTTAAGAGCTTTGAAAGAAGGTCAAACGCAGATGAGATTATTTCCCTCTTTATTTTTCTACCCCAATAGTTTAAAAATACTCACTGCACGTGGCCAAGTTCCCGTCAGGGATGAGCTTTTGCAGCTGAGATCTGACTCCTGGAAGTACAGGCTGATAACGGGAATGTGGCCACAGCTCAGCACCGAGGCGATGCCACTTCTCTATGGACGAGCCCCTCCCCATGCCGTGGGTGCTCTCCCCAATATTTCACCCCCATTACTTGCTCCTCTCAGCGACTCTCCCCTTTTCCCAGCAAGTTTTGGGAAATATGCTGATGCTGCTGAGCCCTCGCTCATCCTCCCGATGACTTCATACCCGCCCGCAGATCCTGTGTTCTGTGTTTGTTTTTTCTATAAGCCGTGCCAAGGGAAAATTGTGGGGCACGCTGCTCACAAAATAAGAAAAGAAATCAATTTTCTGAGAGATTAGTCCAAATTCAGAGACGGGGGAAAACCCTGCGATGCTGGGGAACAGAAATCACCATGCGGCAGCAGTCGCAGGAAATATTTGTAGTGACGGGGGAAAACCCTGCAATGCTGGGGAACAGAAATCACTGTGCGGCAGCAGTCGCAGGAAATATTTGTAGCTGGTTATAGAAGCATCATCCTGCTAACGGGTCCCTGGCTGCTGCTCCTTATAAATAAGCAAATTGCCAACCAGAAGGGATGGGTGTTTGTGTCAGAGGCTGTACAGAGACCCAAAATAACAAGTATCTGTGGCCCCAGAAAGCCCATCGTCTCAGCAGATGAGTGGGAGAAAGCTCCGGGCCCTTGCTGATGGCTGGTGCTGGGATGTCTCAGCTCCTGGCTGGGACTTCTCCAGCAGCAGCAGCTCAAACCGAGACCCTTGTGGGGTCTAGCACGGGGCCAAAAACTGGAATAGCTCATTGTCTCGTGGTGGGGATGGACACCTGCATACAACCAGGCTACAACCTCTTGTAGGGTTGCTACAGGTTGGCAGCAGAGGAGCGGGCAGGGTGGGTGTCCCATCCCATCCCATCCCATCCCACCCAGCCTGGGCTTGGGCTGTGCAATGGGCAGGAGCTTCACCAGCCTGGCTGGGGAGCTGGAAGGTGTTCAAGCAGCAGGAACGTAATTGTTGAGATGAGGAAATTAACTATTACTGCTTAGCTGGTGGCCATGCAGAATAACCTCTCATGTTAGCTCTTGATGCTTCCCTGTGACTCCTCATCACAGGAAAATATTCTTCTCCCTAATCATAGTGCCAAGAATAATTGGGTTTATTCGTTCACCACCGTAGTTAAATATCTCAGGAGGGTTTAAATCAGAAAGATGGAAGACGCTAGAAATGTCTCTCTCCGGGAATGGCCCTAGAAAATCAGCCGTGTGGGAAGGATCCCCAGCCTGCAGCAAGTGGGGATCTTGGTTAGATGGTTTGGTTGGTTGTTTTTCCAAAATTTAAAGCCTATTTTGAGCCCTGTGGGTGTTTTTGCTGCTTTCACAAAGAGCCAGGTCATGGGGCTCGTGCCCAGTGTCACAGACACGTCACGTCCCATTTCAGGATGACACGGACATCAACATCGACTGCATGACCGAAGACAAGAACCCCAACAAGAAAGTGTGCAACGTGAGCTACCCCTTCTTCCGAGCCAAGGCCAAGGTAAAGCTGTTCCCCCCTGCCCAAGCAAGGGCTGACCCGCAGGATGGGAGCCCCCTGCCCCTGGCACGGCCACGGGGTTGCATCCATCCATCTTGGGGCTGGGTGGCTTTGAACAGGATTTTCAAAGACAAGCCCTTGGTTCCCTCCCTGTCTCTGTCCATCACTGGGTTTTCCAGGGGCATTGGGGGAACCAATGGTTGAGATGATGTCTCGATGCTCAGAGATCGCCCAGCACCAAATCCCACTCAACTTCCTCCAGTCAAAGAATTTGTCCCCAGTCCTTTGGAGCAATTTAATGTTGTCTTCAAACCACTGATGGTAACCCCGAGCTCCTTCCTCGCAGGATGAGGCACCCTTCTCTGGGCGATTTCCCTTGCTCCCAACACCCAGGGTCCATCCAGACCATCTTCTGTGCCCACCCAAGCCCCCTCAGGCTGGTGGTATCCTCCAGATCCCAGCTCACAGCACTTCCCTGACCAAGTCCAGCAAGCAACATCTTCAAATGCCATAAAACCCTTTGCAAATGTTACGTGCAGCATAGAATCATAGAATCCCAGACGGGTTTGGGTGGGAAGGGACCTTAGAAACCATCCAGTGCCACCCCCTGCCATGGGCAGGGACACCTCCCACCAGCCCAGGTTGCCCAAAGCCTCATCCAGCCTGGCCTTGAACCCCTCCAGGGATGGGGCATCCACAGCTTCTCTGGGCACCCTGGGCCACTGCCTCACCACGCAGGTAGGGAAGGAAAAGCCAGGAGATGCCACAGGCAGAGCAGGACCTGTCTCCCCAAGGTGAAATCCCACCTGTCCATCCTGCACCCCTGTGGGAAAACCAGCCGAGACAAGCGGAATCAAAAGAGAAAAATCTTTCCAACCGCCGCATCCGTCTGAAGCTTCTCCTTGTCAGAAGCTTGAAAATGACAGACGAGCTCCAGGCACCTCACAAGGCTTTAAAGCTCCCAAAAAAATCCCTCTCGGATGCCTGTGGCCATCCCTGCGAGCGGCAGCCCGACTCCCCATGACCTACGGGGGCTGAGAATGCATCTGCGTGGCATCAGGTAGTCCAGGTCCTGCCAAGACAAAGACAAGCTGGAAATGGAAATTTGGCCCCAGAGCAGCAGGAGCTTTAATATTATCCTCAGCTGTGCAGTCCCAGACAGTTTGAGGTCATTGCCACAGCTCTCGCAGATGTGACATTTATCACATTTTATTGTTGTTGGCCCCTCTCCGGCTGCCTTCCCCCCGCCAGCCGACCCCGTGCCGCAGATGGGAGCGAGCGGCCTCTCGCTGCTGATCCCCTGGAGGGTTTCTCTTCCAAAAGGAAGGCTGCTTGCTTCTCCAACCTCAGAGAAAAAAAGAAAAAGAAGAAGAAAAGAAAAAGGAAAAAAAAGAAAAAGAAAAAGAAAAAAAAAGAAGAAAAAGAAAAAGAAAAAGAAAAAGAAAAAGAAAAAGAAAAAGAGAAAAAAGAAAAAGAAAAAGGAAAAGAAAGAAAAAGAAAAAGAAAAAGAAAAAGAAAAAGAAAAAGAAAAAGAAAAAGAAAAAGAAAAAGAAAAAGAAAAAGAAAGAAAAAGAAAAAAAGTGCTGAGAGCAAATCCCTGGCGTGGCCTCTTCTCTCCCTGGAAAGCTGAGGCTCTGCCCAACGCCTGGCAGCATCTCCCGGGGCAGGCAGGGGGATGCTCTCACCCACACAGCCCCCACACCACTCAGGATTTTTTTTTTTTTATCCCTAATGTATTATTCTCCGTTCTGTTTCCGACCTCCACAGGTAGCTTTCCGCCTGGATTTCGAATTCAGCAAGTCGGTTTTCCTTCAAGGCATGGAGATCTACTTGGTCGCCAGCAGGTAGATGGATGCTTTCTCCCTTGCGTGTGTTTACGAGGTTGATGGGATGTCACCTGTGAAATCTCCTTAGGGTTTTGGGTTTTTTTTTTTCCATTTTTATCAATTTTTTAGAGCAGACAAGGATTCGCTCTGCAGGGGCTGCAGCACCGCTTTAATGCTGCTGGGTGGGAAACCTCCCTCCAAATGATTTATTTTTGTAGCCTTGGGCTAATAAAAGTTATAGGATAAAATTGCTTCTCTTTACACTTTGGCCAAAAAGCCAAAGTTCAGCCCTTCCCCACCTGCTTCCTATGAACCCCCACCCAAAAAAAAAAAAAAAATCCGAGGGGACCCAGCTCCTGCCTCACCCCCCGCTCCTGTTCCAGCGACAGTGAGGAGAAGGAGAGCACCAAGGAGGACAACTTCGCCCACCTGAATTTCCACCTGAAGTACGAAGCCGACCTGCTCTTCACCAGGTGAGGGGCTTCGGAAGGGGATGGGGCTTTTGGGGGGGACACGGGTGTCCAGCGGGAAAACCAAATGCAGCATCATGCGAGCCCAGTGCAAACTGGGCTGTCATTGGGATAGTTTAAAAAATCGGGCTGAAGGAACCATAAAATTGGGGCATCCCGCTCAGCGGGTCCTTATAAAAATCAGCAGCGAGGAGCAATGCAGCACGGTGCTTTCATACCAGTTAAATGCACGAGGTTATTAAACAGGTGTGAGGGGAATGGTTTTTTAAGGGGAAAAAGTCCTTTTGGCAGGTAATAACATTCGCAGCGTGTGTTACTAGCCAGTGGCTGGGCTGGTTGCCATCCCCCTAAAAATCATCTCACCGGGAGCTCGGCTGAGGATGTGTGGGGAAGGGTTCGGGCATCGATAGTAACTAAAGGGGAGAATTCGGTCCAAGGAGAGCAGGGAGCTAAGGCTCAGATGATAATTTATTAACCTGATTGTAAAAAATAAAAAAATCTGTCAAGCCCAGAAGCACATTCCCTGGCACCGCTTGCTGTAATTCTTAGCAGATTTTTAAGACCTTCAGTCATTTTATTATTTTTTTTTACACTAGAGGCAGTGGGGCATTGAAAATAAAACCACTTTAATACTTAAAATTTATGGGGAGCGAGGGGATTCTCAATTTAACAAAATAGCAGAATTGCCCTTACAGGAGAGGGGAGAGCTTGGAGGAAAAATAGCAGCACAAAAAATTCAAATTTGACCATCTTGGGGGGAAAAAAGGGGAAAATTTTAAAGAGTTTTGGGGGGTTTGGGCCACACGCCCTGTCTCGTGACACCTGTGAGCGTGCATCCCATCACTGCCAGCTGGGCATCCATCGGATGCTCCTGGCTCCTTCCCCTCCTCTCCAGCTGGGAAACAGAGACGGGATTCACCTCCCCAGATTTAGACGTGACATTCAAAGCGCCAGCCAGGGCCTTGGATGTCTCTGTTATAATAAAAAGGCGAGAAAAATTCCACCAAGAAAGGGAAAATACTGCAGAGGCAGAATAGCGTGAAAATCCCCCGTCTCCTTTTGCACGAGGTGGAGCCAGGTGATGGTTTCCATCTGAAATGGGAATGGAAACATCCATCCATGGAAACATCCATCCAGCCAGCCATCAAAAAAACCCCCTCCATCCACCCCTCCATCCAGCCAGCCAGCCATCCCTCCATCCCTCCATCCAGACCGAAAATCCTCTCCTGGGGGAGTCTGCCTGCAGAGGGGCTGGGGGCAGATGTGCTCTGCTCTGAGCCCTCCTTGTGACATCTCCTCCTCCGTCACGACAGGACATCGAGCCTGGACTACTACGAGATCAGGTCCAACAGCTCCCTGGAGGGGTATGACAGCATCGGCCCCCCCTTTCATTGCACCTTCAAGGTAAGGAGGGGGTTTAAAACCAGCGGAGGGACCCCCCAGGACCGTGCTCACCCTGCACATCCCCATCCCACGGGACACTGGGGACATCCCTGTCCTCTGCCCTGGCAGCTGCAGAACCTGGGCTTCTTCCCCGTGGAGGGGGCGACCATCAAGCTCACCGTCCCCGTGGCCACCCGGGGCGGGATGGCAACCGCCTCCTGCTCCTCACCGAGTTCATGGTGGACCAGGTAGGAAAGGGGGTTCGTCCCCATTCAGCACTCGTGGGTCCCTTCTGCACCAGGGATGGGGTCACCCCCGAGCACATCACCACATCCTTTTGCAACCCCCCCCCCCGTGCGCACACCTGCACAGCTTTGGCTCGGGTCTGGGCTTCTCCCTTTTGTGTTCACTTGGCTGGAAACGTGGAAAATGGCAGCAGCCAAAGGGCTTAGTCCAAGTATTCCTCCAAGCTAGACCTCACTCCAGTACGCAATGGATTCTGGAGGGTCCTGAAAGTATGTGCCTGGGGGGAACTGGAGGCTTGAGCAGCTGTAAAAGTGGGGGAAGAAGGCTGGGGGCAGCCCCCCAGCATCCCGAGCTGCCTGCTGCCCCTGCAACCGCGGGGGACTCATGTGCCGGCCATGGAAAGAGCCTCAGATGGATGGATTTGACCTCAGTTGGGGTGTTTTGTATTCCCAGCTCTCGCAAAGTCCCCGTGTCACCTGGGACATTGCTGGTGTCCCGGGTGGGGCTCTCTGCCCAGCTGGTTTTTGCTGGGGAGGGGCACAAACTCAGAAAAATTAATTAAAGTAGGATGCTGGACCCCTTTGGGCCAGGACCTCCTCCAGCTGCTCAGCCCCCAGCACCAACAAAGGTCCAGGGAGGGGGCCAAGAC